GAGGGAACCCCACTCACTGCCAGACCTCACTGCTGTCCTGGGCTGGGCTCCTGGCACTGCCAGCCATGCCCAGGGACAGAACTCTTGGGCAGAGCTCAATCTCACTTTTACATGAAACCACCCAGCCTTTGCCTCCCAAGGTCACTCACTCACCCCTGATTTTCTCCTCTCCATGGGATTTCTCCCAACACGCCCCTAGGAAAGGTTCTTCCTCACAAAAATTCCTAAATCCCACTGTATTTCCCTCATATTTGAAAGAAGCAACATTTATATTCAGAACTGTAAAGATGGCAGGAGAAAACCTTTATCCAAATTTTTAAGAAAATATCTTTTCTTTTTGTGGGCTCCCCAGCCCCTCCAGGCAAGTCTCCCTTTGGACCACGGTTCAGCTTTCTTGTTCTACCACCACAACAAAAATCTGTGATTTTGATGGAAAAATGGGAATTATTTATGAAATCTTGGGCAAGAATGGAACAATTCATTTAATTCACACAACAGCTATTACCTCTTCCATTAATGGAGTTTGCTAGATATGGAAACTTCCCTTGTATCCACAAAAACACAGCACCCATGGCCTGGACACACACTAAAACAACAAGAATTATGGAGCTGACTGAATACAAATAAATAAAATATAGAACACACACACATGCCTCAGAAGAGCCAGGAACCAAGCGCGGGTTTCTCATAAAAAATTATTTCACTTTGGGTTGGAAAAGTGCAAATGGGAGCAAGCTCTGATGCCGGGAATCACAGGAAGAACCATTAATGCCCCAGCCAGTCACTCCTCCCTCCCAGGGGAATAATAGCTCCTGCACTGGAAGGCAGCCTGGGTATATTTTATTAAATCCCTTAAAAATGGATTCTCAAATGGTTTATTAACAAATGGTCTTCCTCCAAGAGAGCAGAAAATCTTGTTAGAAAGGATCTGTCATCTCCCCATGCACTGAGGGATGTTTGCTGGGCAGCTTTTCCCTTTCATTCCTCTCTGCAATTTAAAGACACCTGTCAGCCATGATCCACAAAAACCTGGGGCTCAGGGCTCAGCACTCCCTTCTGAGCAGGTTCTGGAATGTTCTGGAACTTTGGGGATGGGGGAGCTGCTTCTCCTTCCCTCCAAGGCCAAACCCTCCCGTGTGTGCCCACAAAGGAGCAGCTTTGCCCTTTTCCATTCGCTGCTTTGTTTTATACAGTGCCAAAAATCACATTAGGAGGCTCCCAGGTCACGAAGCAAACCCAGAGCTTTGTTTAATGGATTTCACCCTAAGGCAACTGGGTTGGAATTTCCACCACTGGATCAAACTTGGAGTTAACTCCAGGTTGTTGGGGCTGTGCTTTCCTGCAGGATCCATCACCAGGAGCAGAAAATAACTGAGAAAAGAGGAGGTCTGACAGAAAAATTCTGGCTTATTTAACTCTTTTCCTGCTAATTTCTTTACATAAAATAGTCCTAAAATGTTTTAGCATTGATTCACGTCATGAATGGGTCACACTTTGTCAGCAAGGGAAAAAAGGTATCACAGAATTAATCAGAAGTGCTTGGGGAAGCAACAAAACACCCAAAATATCCAGTACAGGACAAAAAGGAAAATGACCTAAGAAGCACCTGACAGAGTAAAACAGCTCTGACTTTACTGGGTAGTTTAACAACTCTAACTATTTAAAAATAATTATCATTGCAATTGCATTGTGCCCTTGTGCACCTGTAAAACTACAAGCTCATTTCCCCACATTTACACAATAACTGGGGAAAAGTTATTTCAAGGTGAACAGAACTTACACAAACATCTTGTAACCCTTCTTAAAAATGTGNGAGGCATTCACAGTTATACTGTCAAATAATAACATAATTAAACAATCCTTCTCTTTCCACCTGTTTTCTGCAATAACCTGCCTTATTTAAATCACTATTTCAAAGTCTGTATTAAAAAAGCAGCATTAAAAGGTTTTATTTTCTGCAATAACCTGCATTATTTAAATCACTATTCAAAAGTCTGTATTAAAAGTTTTTATTTTCTGCAGTAACCTGCCTTACTTAAATCACCATTTCAAAGTCTGTATTAAAAGTTTTTATTTTCTGCAGTAACCTGCATTATTTAAAGCAGTGCTCCACCTCTTACCTGTGCGGGGTCACTCAAAGAATCCAAATGGGGTGGAGAGAAGTTCAAAGGTAAACAGAGAGAAAAGGTATTTTGTGCATATTTAGTGTTTTGAAGATGACATAAAAATATTTTTTTGGTGCATATTTAGTGATTTGAACATGACAAAATCTATTTTAGTGGGTTTTTTTATTTTACTAAACTAAATATTTAGTGTTTTGAAGATGACAAAAATCTATTTTGTGCATATTTAGTTTTGGAAGGTGAGATAAAAATCTATTTTGTGACTATTAAATGTTTGGAACATGACATAGAAATCTGTTTTGTGCAAGTTTAGTGTTTGGAAGATGACACTAAAATCTGTTTTTTGTGCAAGTTTAGTGTTTGGAAGATGACACAAAAATCTGGGTTTTTGTGCAAGTTTAGTGTTTGGAAGGTGACGTAGAAATCTATTTTTTGTGCACGTTTAGTGTTTGGAAGATGACACAAAAATCTGTTTTTTGTGCATGTTTAGTGTTTAGAAGACGACACAAAAATCTGGTTTTTTGTGCAAGTTTAGTGTTTGGAAGATGCCACAAAAATCTGGTTTTTGTACATGTTTAGTGTTTGGAAGATGCCAGAAATCTATTTTTTGTGCATATTTAGTGATTGGAAGATGCCCCAGACCCAGGCCCCACCTGCAGGTCCCTGACGTTGGGGAAGGGGATGCCGATGGTCACCACGGCCCTGGCGTTCTCATCGCA